TGCCACCACGGGGTCCCAAAGGGTTAAGGCAGATAAAGTCTGATAGGTGTTGAGTTTCATTGTGCCTTCTGCCACGTCTTTACGTAGGGCATATGAAGGAACGGTGGTGAAGATACTTGCAATTATACAGAAAATCTCTTTGCAAGAATGCAGCAATAAAGATTGTGATGAATAAAGCCAACGTTGCACAGCAGGATTCGAGATTTTCATTTTTAATCAAGCAGTTATCATCGCAAAGAACAAAATCAAGATATCACAACCTGACCCACAGTTAATTGGTCATTTATGGACTCTATGCAAGAAAGAATGATTTTGGGGAGCAATAGTTGACAATGATATGTTTAAGTACCTAGAAGCAGTACTGTCATAATTATGTTTTCGAAAACTTTTCAATCAATAATAATGTACTGTACAGTTTGGAGGAATTTGGAAGGTAATTTGTACAGGAGGAATGGAGGAAACTGAAATGACAATGAGCAGGCAAAGGGAGAGGGCAAGAGATAAATCAATCATCGTCCTCATCGTCGACAGCCTTCGAAGGAGGAGCACTTGATTCGTCTATTACTTCCTGTTCATACTCCTGAGGCTGGCACTTTGCCAAATCTACGCGAGGAAAGTCCACCTAAGAAAAGAATAAGAAAGTTGTTAAAATTGCTGTAAGAGCCGTTTACCTGTTGTTCGGCGTAAATCCAAGGTTTAAGATTGGGTTGATTGTGTCTCTTCCATTCGGGGTAAGCAATACATGCTTTATGCAATTTTTTGACTATTTTAGGAGCAATCACACGCGTCAAGCGATTTACCAACCATGTGGGCAGTTTTCCTACAAGACTGAAAATTCAAGAAGAAATTACTCTAACTTTATCTACACACCTTTAGGATCTGAATGGCTAAGATATGTAATCTGACATCCCTCTTTATCAAATGGCCTAACGAGATATGCAGTGAGTAATGCAGTGCCGCGGATATAGCCTTTCATTGGGGGATAATCCTGCAATAAAAGAAACAAAATAAGCACAATAAGTTTTTTT